TATATAAATAAATAATGTTATTCAAATTATTGTGTAGAATTTCAGGTAACTACATAAAATTTACAAACTTTTGTTTAATACTAAAAATAAACATGCTCGTTTGATAATTCAATCACTCACAGTTATAGAGTTATTTTAATTAACAGGCAACGCTTTCTCTTCAAGTTTCATTGATTTTGCTGTTCCTCGTTTCAGAAGTTTTCTCACAGTTTTGTTTAGCACTGACCCCTAAAATCTTGGTATCCAAACTCAAAGAAGAAACATCATTGATATTTTGCCTTGTAACTTTGGCAATTCCTCTTCTAATACATTCATCCAACAACTGTTCTTCCTCGGAAGTTAAATCAGAGCTTTCATCTAATGGCTCTAATTTTTCAGTATCAGAGTCATATGCACTATTAACGTGCAAGTTAAATGAAGATATGTCATTTATGTTTTGCTTTGTAACTTTAGCAATGCCTTTTTTTATATATTCATCTAAAATTTTTTCTTCTTCAACCAAAACATAAGGATTCTCTTCGATTCCATGGTCTGACTTTTTTTTCTCATCACCCATGCCACTGATCTGCATATCAGCGATCGACGTTTTTGGGGTTTTGTACAATGTTGCCTTGTTCTCTGACTCTGGTTCATCAACGTCATACTCGTCATCTATGGTTAAAGAACTCAAACTACTCGCTGCTACGGACTGGAATTTCACTGGAGTAGATTCTTCCTTAAATATGGCCAAGTTGTCTTCAAAAACACTGTACTTGGACCCCTCCTGTTGTCCAAGAAAAGTCTCGGATGTCTGAGGTTTGTCACGTATCTGTTGAAGCTTCTTTCTCGTCAACCTTTTGTCTCGTAGCTGTCCAGAGTGTATAAATTGTGCAGGTGAATCAGGTAATTCGCTTGGGGACACTACCTCACTAGTCCGCCTACTAAAATCGCTGATGACAGAGCTTCGGTCATCAAGGAGTGACTGCTGTTCATAGCCACTAAGTGAACCAAGAGAACTGCACCTAGAAAACATAAGCGGTGTCTGCTGGGAAAATCGGTCTTCACCACTAAATGTTACCATCCTGGCTTCCTTATCATTTTCGAATTGTTCAATTGGTGACTGTGAAGGCGTGACATTAATAATGCGCTCTGATCTATCTTCATCGCATTTGTAATCATATTCATCCGAGTCATCTGGTAAGTATATTTCTATGTCAGTGCTTTCACACTCTTTTTCTTCGTTTCTGAATTCCATGTAGCTCTCTAATTTTGCGTTTGGTTTGTCTTTGGTATCCGTTAATCGATTAGTTGAAATGCTTCTTGATTCGATTTGAACAGAACTCGGTGTTTTCAAATCGTCAAATCTCAGTAAATCTGATGTAGAAGTTGAAGTAGAAAAATGTGGAGGTGTTTCAAATGGCGTTCCTTCAGTATAATATGTAGTCACTGTGTTTTCTTGCTCACTGCATGCAAGCAAATAATCAAAGTGACCAACCTCCTCTACAATTGAGTTTTCTTCTGCATAGATTATGCTGTAGTTAGTTGTTTGATCAAAGTCTGCCTCTGGAAAATGGTTGAAAGGGCATGGCTTATAGTTGATATTGACTGGTGTCAATGCTTTTTTTGAAGCATGTCTTGCTATTCTTGTCGTCATCAGCTCCTTTATAGTTGTATTCTTAGCGATGTATAACAGTCTTAATCTTAAATAATTTGAACGGAATTCGTTACTCTGTCATTATACACATACAATGATAAAAAAAAAGATTGTTGCTTACCTCCTTATCTATTAAGAAATTTCTTATTTTTTGGCATTTACGTTTAAGTATGATATTTTTTGATGCTACTTTATTGTTTTGCTTTACCCTTTTGATAAAACAATTTGTTTCCATGTCTATTTTTTTGGCCACTTTGACAATTATTACAACTATAATATTTCTTTGGATTCCAATTTTTTTATGCTCTGTCGATTTATTATTACTTTGCAAATTTTTCTGAAAAGCATCATAAGGTTCTTATTAACTTCAAATTATTGCTTTAAAAAGTAGTATGAACAAAACATCTTAAAAAAAAAATTAGCTTTCAGGTAAAAACGTATTTCCAGATTTTGTACATAATGAAATTAAAAACAAACATTTTCTTAACACAATTCATTGGCAACATTTTACTGATAATAAAAAGATTTCATATCTAATGATAAGAATGCTACGTAACATAAATAACAATATTGGACAATAAAAACGTTCAAAGAGCAACAAATTACTGGAATAAAACATTCAAATCTATACCTGATCTCAAATTAGTAATAGAAAAGCCTCTACATTAATTAAATAAATCACAATCATAAACACTTGGTCTACTTACAAGGCTCATAACCAACAAAAAATTGGCAAGAAAATAAACAGCCGAACAAAAAATGATCGGTAAAAAAAATCAAAGGAAACGAAACGTGCAAAACTTTCGTGCACGACGGACGTAAACACACAACAAAAACATAAACAATAGAGTTGAGGTTATGGTCATGGGTCGAGAGGGCATATATCCTCGAGCATCCCTGGTACTTCGACTTACGACGATGGGCAGCACATTTCGGTTGCTCAAAATAAGGCCCACACGATTCTCGTCAAAATAAATAATTATTGTTGACAAAAACACTTTTGCAAGCCGGATGATGCCTTTTCTCTCTCTCTCTATTGCTTTTGCATATGTGTAGTATCAACTATAAAAATACACACACAACTTTACTGGTACGTCACATATATCATTCGTCAAAAGCAAGTTTAAAAGCTTTGACGTCTGACCGGCAGATGAAGTCTTGAGATGCCGACACACCACCCACTCAACTTTGAAAAAAAAAATTATGAATATATTGTGCCAATTAATCATAACATTCTTCGATCGGAGCGATGTTGAATGTAAAGTTTTGATTAACGAGTAAAAAATGAAGACCCCGTATTACCTGCAAAAGTCAAAGGAAATCTAAAAGTTATGCCAAAAAGAAGCATGAGAAAACTCTCTCAGATTGTCAATTAAATACACCAAGTTAATTAAGAAGTTGAAAAATTAATCAAATATGATTAAAATAAAAAAATGATATTTAATTTTTCGATAATTTCAAAGTAGAATTAGTTTTGTCAATGGTTTAAAATTATGTGTGATGAACAATTGTAAAATAGGAATTGGTAGGACACATAGTGGTATACAAGGTTTTTTACGTACATATTTTTTACTCAACTAATTAAAATAGTTCGTAACAAATTGTGCAACTAATTTGAATATTCTTCTTTGTGTGTTAATGCGTAAGTTATCATTTAAACATTTTCAGCTGCACCCAAAATAAACTCAGTACTTGTAATTTTATTTAACAAAGCGAACACAACACCTCATCATATTAAGTATTTATTTACATCAAATTCTATTTACACAGTTGAATTTTCATTTCATCAGTAATCAACAGTTATTACTACTCATAAAAATTGGTAAAATATGAAAATATATATATAAAATTTCAAAACAACTACATTAATCCGAAATGCGTTAATATTTAAAAATAAATAATGCTAATGGTTGTTTATTACGTTGATTTTGCTAGTTCGATCAGAGCTAACGCCGCGATCCATCGTTTCTTTTCCTCCGTGTGTATCTTAGCTGTAGTGTAAAAGGATGTGGGCAATAACTTCAATGGTCTTTTATCACTTTTTCGATTTCTCTGGTACTGCTTTAAAATGCTCTGGGTAAATACAAAATTTTTTGAAATAATAAAAATAAAAAAAATCAATCAACATTATCTTTAAAAAATAATTTTCCATCTCATTTTTGAAAAGTATGTACTCAATACAACAGATCATTTAACTAAATAGTTGGAAAAAACGAAATTATCCGTGTTTTTCGCGATAAAGCATGAAATGAAAAAAAAAAAAAAAAAGGCTTACTTTGTTTCCATTGAAGGTCGAATGTGTTTTTTTGACGTGTTCTTCTAACTCCGTTCCATTACCAGCGTTTTTCATCTTTGTATCATTATTATTATCACCGTTTAAAAGCTCAGGGTTTTTGCTCATTTCGCATCCCAATTGTAAACTTTCGGTCCCTTTTTCGGCTCCGTTAGGCTCTTGGTTGTTCGGTTTGGCATCGTCCTCCTCATCGATGACGATGATTTTTACATCATTGAAATTCACTGCGGCTGCATACGTGTGGTCGAGCCGGTGTTGATAACAACTTGAGTCGTTGTGCCTTTGTCGAAGCTTTTGATGCTGTTGAAACTTTGCAAAGCCACGGGCACGGACGCTCGACGTCGTTTTCTTCCGCACACCTATAAATATGCATACATACACAACATTGCAAAATTAGAAGTAAAAAAATAACGAATCATTATTAAATACCAAAATGTTGATTTTATTTTTAATATAAAACTTTTAAAAAGTATAATTTATACATAAATATATATCCTACGTATACTATACTGTTATTGTAATTACATAGTTGATAACGATTTTTCGGGTCACCGATGTAAAATACTATCAAAGGTTAGGTTAAAAATAATTATAATAATATCATAATGTTCATACTTGGAAGTTTAATTTCCTTTGAAGTTTCACTTTTGTCGCTACAGTTTTTGTATATCGAGGCAATTTGCATTTTCTTGATCAAATGATATTATTTTATTTTCAAAAACTTATATTATTAATATGACGCAGGTGAGTTTCGAATATCCCGTACATGCATATTGTGTAAGTATTTGGCGTAAGTATTTTTACTCGCGTTGATTGAACAAATAAATCCGTCGTTTGTTTACATAAACCTAACTTTGAATTTTCGATCGATCGGAATTTCGGTATCTGCACTTATACGTTCGAAATAATTTGTTTTGAGCAATTTAAAAAATAAAAAAGTAAAAAATACTTTTAAAAATAATTAATATACTTAGCTAAATTTACTGTTGCAAACTGTCAGTGACATTGTTTAAAATATTAAAATTCCCAGTGTTTATTCATTTTTTAAACTCATTAGTACTCTGATAAACAAGTTAAATATTACTAAGCAATATGTAAATAAAAGATCATCATCGAGCTATTAGCTATTATTGACTTTATTGACTACCGGCAGCAGCGGCCAGGGTGTACTTAAAGTGTGTAAGAATTAAGAATATTGAATCGAGTATACATTTACATTTTTACATATGTACATAGACGCTGCGGCACTGTGGTAGGTTTTCTTGCGCCGAAATAAACGAACAACAACAAGTACAGAATTAATTAATTCTATCTATTGTAATTAATTCCATCTATCCGGATTCCGGAACAGTGTTGGCCGCGATGGTGGAGTAAAGCCTTTTGAGGAAGGAAGCATAATTTTAAATTTGAATCATGTTTTACTGTGTGGTCGTTATAAAAACTCTAAAACGGGATTACATAAATACTGTGCTCTGTGTTTGCAATCGTCTAAAATATTTAGCACTGCAGACGAGAACAGTAATTTTTTATACAATATATGTTTTGTTTATTTCGAAAACAGTATACACTGTAGTAGTAGTACACTACAGTGTATGTATATACACTGGTAATAGCTGTGTAACACTACTGTCGTCTGCTTTGTTTGGTACAATTGAGACCGGCATCAGCGCCATCTAACGGGACTCGTACCTCCGAGTTCCGGCTTCCGGATAATTAATATGGTTTAACTTTCCATGATTCGGTATTCGGTATAGTTTTTTTCTCTTCCTCTCTGATAAACATATATAATGTATTTTGAACTGGATTTATTATTTTGTGTAGTTGTATTTTAATTTTTACTCACAGTGGTTCTTCTTATAATTAGGTAAGCAATGTTTTTTTTATTTTTTATAATAATTATGAGATATATATTTTACAAATGTCGAAATGTAAAAACAATCAGATTTAATTATATTTTGGTAAATTAGTCAACTTTTTGTAACATCATTTTGATTGTTTTTCTCAGATTAGTCAAGCATGGACTTCAAGGGATCAGAAGAGTGCACTAACATTTCAATCAAGAAGAAGGAAACGAATTACATTGTCTTCAACATCAACTACTCCACGATAAGAGAATGCACGGGAATTGAGTACAGGTCGCCTGTATTCAAATTTAAGGATTCTCCAGCAGAAGAGTGCTACATAAGTTTCATATCCTCGTCCTCGGAGAAGAAGAGCAAGTATGGTGCTAAAAACGCAGGTATGACCTTACATTTCATGCGCAACGAAGTTTTTCACAACGAGCCGTGCACCTATCAAGTAGTGGCAAGCATTTTACACAAGCCAGAATATGGCACCCACTACTTTCAAAGCCAGCGTTGCGGTACCAATGAGTTGAAGCACTCTTTATTTTTCAACTTATGTCAGCTTGGGAAGTCAGTGAATAAAGACGGTCTAGTACAGGTTTGCTTTGATACTACTAGGTTTTCTGTTGGCGATTCATCTTCCATTGAGACATTTTTACCACAAAAAGCATTTTACAGTGACGAGAAGCTATTTAAACTTTATTGCTTCGCTTTGGAAGATAGGTATACAGATGTCACCCTAAAAGTCGGTGATGAAGAGATTAGAGCGCATAGAAACATATTAGCTGCTCATAGTTCAGTTTTTGATGCTATGTTCAACAGCAAAATGATCGAGGAGCAAACTGGTGTGATACCTGTGGAGCAATTCACGCCCCATGTAATAAAAGAGTTGCTCTATTACATGTACACAAATAATGTACAAGATTTATCAACAATGTTTAATCATTTGTACGAAGCTGCTCATTTTTATAATTTAATAGATCTTGAGAATCTGTGCAAAAATTATATGTATGAAAATATCACAGTGAACAATGCAACTTTGATACTACAGATTGCTGAGAAATATGACGTGAAAAGTTTGTTGCGCAAAGTAAAAAAGTTTATTTCTGAAAATGAATCTCAGCTGATCAATAATTCGGAGTACCTCAGTTATTTAATGTCTGGTTTAAATGTTACTAATGTTGCCAAATGTCTCACCATAGCTGATAAGTATAAGTTGAAGGATGTAAAAAACCAACTGAAAGAATACATCAGGGACAATATCAAAGAAGTAATTAAAGACTCTAGTTATAGATATTTATACAACACACACATGAATTTAATTTTAGAAATCGACGAGTTTATGGCAAACCATTATGACAATGAACAATAATAAGTATTATGAGACAAATGTACGAAATAATTTTAAATAAATTTTTATTTTTTTTCAATACTTAAAAAATTTTATTTCTATGACACCCTTAAGCTTATATGACAGTATGTACAGTATTCTTTTTTTTTTTCTTAGCTTAACCAATAACATTAAAAAAATATCGCACTGTACACAAGATCACTTAAATGAAAATAAGACAAAACATTACAGTATACAATATCCCATATCAGACATGAAAAATTCACGTATAACTTTTGATAATTTAAGTATATCTTTTACCCAAAAGTCTAAATATATAGGAGGTCGATATTTGGCTAGAAGATAAATTGCAAACTTGCCGCAAACAGCACAAACGATGTCCACTTTTCATTTTGTATTTACAATATTAGTTGCGGCTGGTATATAATCAATTATATAGCTCCACTGTAAGTTGTAATAATTATTTGGATCAGCGCCATCTAGCGGCCGTGATTTTTTTGGCCAAAAATTGCTTCTAAAATTCTGAAGGAGAGCTTTAGGCAGTTTAGCCCTAGAGCCAATTAATTAATTAAAAACCAGCCGCAACTTATTTGATAGATACAAAATAGAAAATCAACGTTGTTTGCATTCTTGGCGGCAAGTTTACAATTTATCTTTCATTCTAAAGTATAAATATATATGATGCACGATTAATAGCTTATT